TCCTGATTGGCCGGGAAGCCGGCTCCATGATCCCTGGTCACCAGGTGACCAGGAAGCATGGAGCCGGCTTTCTGGCCAATCAGGAAGCTGGGAGCCATGTAATGACTCGCCGTCCGGCTTCCTGATTGGCCAGCTTCCCGACCAATCAGGAAGCTGGGCGGCGAGTCATTACATGCTGCTCGGCTTCCTGATTGGCCAGAAAGCCGGCTCCATGCTGCCTCGTCACCAAGTGACGAGAGAGCATGGAGCCAGCTTCCCAGCCAATCAGGAAGCCGAGCAGCATGTAATGACTCGCCGCCCAGCTTCCTAATACCGGAAGTTCTGGTATCAGGATAGGCATTGGGAGCATTTGGGTGAGTACGAGTACTCGCCCAAATACTCGGTATCGGCACCGATACCAGTGTCGGTGCGTCCCTAATTTCGGCTATATCCTGCGGAATACAAAGCAGGCGAAATCTCACAAAAAAATCTCTGGCGATGGACTGGAGTGTCTTCTAACAAGATTCACCTACTCTGCATTCTCCAGGAATCTTCCCGGAAGGTTGGAGACATCATATTATATTAAAAAGGAATCCTGCTGCAATGTTGCAATGAAAGTATATCTAAAGACAAAACTTTTTTTCTTTCAGCTAGAGTAATCCAGGGTTCAAACTCCTACCAGGTTTGTTTTTTTGCCGTCTGTGCTCCACTGGGGATATATATATCCCTTCACTTCCTGTCCTGTAAAAACAACAGGAAGTAAGAAGAAATCTCTCCAAAGTAAGGGGAAATTTCCTCCAGTTGTCATATGAATGACTAATCCCATCGGAAGAGTTCTGTTCTTCTGTCTACTGTCACATTTGGATTTTTCAGTCCCAAGTGGTCATCAAGACAAACAGAAAGGGTGAATCTCCCCAGCGAGGACCTGACACAGAAGCCTGAAAGGGATTCTTCTAACCCCTCACCACGTCATACAGAAACCTAAAAATGTGGCTTTAGGTACACTTTAAAGGAGAACTATGGGGTTAAGGCTTTTCCCCATAGTTCTCCTTAGGGTAACGGGAGGACAAACTAGCGTTGGTGCATCCCTAGCCGAAATCATACAATAATAGGTAATTTATGAAGGGGGGCCTGGACGGGGTAAATGGACCTTGAATTTTACTTTAAAGGAGAACTATGAGGTGAGTGCTTTTCACTCACCTCATAGTTCTAGCCGACCTGTGACAATGAGACTGTCACAGGTCGGCTCAGTAGATCGGGAGGGGAGCGAACACTTACTGGCGTTCGCTCACCTCTCGATCCTGTCACGGCTCTCTGCCGTGACAGGGGAGGGGCTGGATTCCCCCCTCCCCGCTCCGATCAACAGCTGGCTCTGCCTATCTAGAGGCAAAGCCAGCTGTACCCGCCCCCGTCCGTTCTGCCAGTCAGCGCTGGCGGATCGGAGCGGGGAGGGGGGAATCCAGCTCTCTGCCGTGACAGGATCGAGAGGTGAGCGAACGCCGGTATGTGTTCTCTCACCTCCCGATCTACTGAGCCGACCTGTGACAGTCTCATTGTCACAGGTCGGCTAGAACTATGAGATGAGTGAAAAGCACGCCCCTCATAGTTCTCCTTTAATGTGTATGTGTGCCATCGTTGCGTTGATCAGGGCTGTGTATTCCATATCGGCATAGTGGACCAGTACTTAGGTCGGGGTGGACAGATTATTATGGAATGCAGGAGCCTGTCTGTCCAATCCAAGAGCCACCATTGAAACATAGCAAATTTAGAAGAAATGCAAAGCAGTTTGTTCTAATATTACAAATAGGTTTGGACTGAACGTACGGTCTGAGGACGTAGTTGCCATCAGGTATGTGGAGGGAGAAGCATCTAAAGCGTTAATCTTCCCGGCATGGAATGAGAAGAGCTGTTCGGGGTCCTGAGTCTGCAGGGAGAACATGAAGAAGAGGCATTGTAAATCCAGAGCCAACACATCCCTCCTCATGTATCACTGGCCCCTCCCTTTTAGATTGTAAGCCCTCAGGGGCAGGGTCCTCCTTACCATCTGGTCTTGAATTGTATTGTATTGTGATTGTAATGTCTTCCTTATATTGTAAAGCGCTGCACAAACAGTTGGCACTATATAAATCCTGTATAATAATAATAATATCACTGCCAAGGCCGTCCCTACTGCCCACTTTCCAGTCAGAGCGTCCCATGTTGCTAAGAGGAGGGGAGAAGATGAAGGGCTATACACATCTCACATCAACCTGGGACCCTCTGGCTGGTGTGCCGCCTGGCTCCTGGCAACCAGTGAGCTGGGGGGACGCCGGTCAGAGCATCCCAGGCTGCTAAGAGCCAGGCTCTGAAGTCTGTGCAGAGCCTGTGGAGGGCGGCATGCACCACCACACCCACCCTCTCCCACCGGCCACTGCCTCATATGGCAAAAAGGCTACATAAAAGGTCTTGTAGGGAGATGAGGGGAAGGGTGAAGGAGCTAGGCCAGCACAGACAAAAATTAGACAGTCCCAGAAGAGGAGAGGGCTATGACGTGCAAGGAGGGATGCTGTGCTTGGGAATCAACACTTCTGAAGCAGTCAGATGTTCTAGCAGCTTCAAGGGGCACATTGCAAGTAAATAAAAAGTGTGAGCTTGTTCTTTTCACCCCGTATTGCACCGTATTGTCACTCATCCAACGCATGTATCCAGCTTCACAACAAGAACAATTGGTGTCAACTACGGAACAATACGCCAAATAGAACATCCTCTTATTATTGTCTTTGGATTCTTTTGTGAATTACTCCGGACGGCTTATTTCTATCAAATATAACAACGCCAAAGAAGAGGAAGGACATTCAAAAAAGCCCTCAGGGGCAGGGTCCTCCTTACCATCTGGTCTTGAATTGTATTGTATTGTGATTGTAATGTCTTCCTTATATTGTAAAGCGCTGCACAAACAGTTGGCACTATATAAATCCTGTATAATAATAATAATATCACTGCCAAGGCCGTCCCTACTGCCCACTTTCCAGTCAGAGCGTCCCATGTTGCTAAGAGGAGGGGAGAAGATGAAGGGCTATACACATCTCACATCAACCTGGGACCCTCTGGCTGGTGTGCCGCCTGGCTCCTGGCAACCAGTGAGCTGGGGGGACGCCGGTCAGAGCATCCCAGGCTGCTAAGAGCCAGGCTCTGAAGTCTGTGCAGAGCCTGTGGAGGGCGGCATGCACCACCACACCCACCCTCTCCCACCGGCCACTGCCTCATATGGCAAAAAGGCTACATAAAAGGTCTTGTAGGGAGATGAGGGGAAGGGTGAAGGAGCTAGGCCAGCACAGACAAAAATTAGACAGTCCCAGAAGAGGAGAGGGCTATGACGTGCAAGGAGGGATGCTGTGCTTGGGAATCAACACTTCTGAAGCAGTCAGATGTTCTAGCAGCTTCAAGGGGCACATTGCAAGTAAATAAAAAGTGTGAGCTTGTTCTTTTCACCCCGTATTGCACCGTATTGTCACTCATCCAACGCATGTATCCAGCTTCACAACAAGAACAATTGGTGTCAACTACGGAACAATACGCCAAATAGAACATCCTCTTATTATTGTCTTTGGATTCTTTTGTGAATTACTCCGGACGGCTTATTTCTATCAAATATAACAACGCCAAAGAAGAGGAAGGACATTCAAAAATCAATAGAAATGGCCCCAATGTAACTAAATGGTGCTCAGTGGCCTATTCTGCATATGTAAGTCATATAAGGGTCAGATAAGCAATTAGGAAACATTGACATTACTATATTTGAAAAGGACAGGTCCAGCCTCCAGATCCCACCGCTGGCATCCTGAAAAATAAAAGAATTCAGAATGGATTACTAGATATAACACATCTCCATATACATGATAAGGATTCAAGGATAACATTTATATAGAATGTATATAATTAGGCCATTCTGTAATTCCATTCAATTAAAAATGTATCACTTTCCGCCACTCATGATATCCCAACCCTGTGTCAGGAAGGTTCAGCCAGTCCACACAGCAGAGGTTCCATGCAAGAATCTGCGCATGTGCACAGTTTGGCTAATAGGCCTGTGCATAGCCGTACGCCTCTGGGCAGATGTGGGCTTGCCTCTTCTGATTATCGCTCTGTTCCTATGTGACCTTGGATTATCTCCTGACTACTCCCCTGCCTGCTGCCTTCGTACCTCGTTGCCTGCAAGTTATCTGTAAGGGTAAAATGGCGCCCGCACATGCGCACAAACCAAATATTCATTCGGCCGGAAAACATGCCATGTTGGGCATGTGCGGAAGTGCGAGAAAACACGCTTAAACCGGAAGTGCATGGAATCACGTGCAGCGGCCGTAGCAGCGGAAATGACGCTGCTTCCCTAGTTTAGCATATAAAAACGAACCCCATTGCTGATGGTTTTTCAGCTAGTGTTCCTGTGTGCCTGCATTCTGTTGGATTCCTGTGACCTGCTTTACCCGGCTTGTTTGGACTTCTCTATTGATTGCTGGTTGCCCCTGACCTCGGCCTGTTTCCTGGACTTTGCCTTTTGCCTCCTGATTGTGTACCTTGCTGCCCCCGACCTTTGGCTTTCCTGACCACGCTTCAGTCTCTCGATCCTGTTCCCACGCTGCCTGCCCAGTTGGACCTCTGGCTTGCTGACTACCAGCTACCAGGACGTCTCCTGCACAGTGTCGGTTCCCATCCGTGGTACTCGTGCTCCTCGCTGCCCGACCGCTACCTCTTCCCACCTCCAGGGGCGGAAGGACACGAGCCGCAAGAGAAGCCTCCTCACCTTCCGGTCTCTCACCAGGTACGTTACATGATCGATCTGTGCCTGACGACCACTGCTGACATCGCGCTCTAGTCAGTGGTGTATCTTGGTTTTGTGCTGCCCTAGGCAAGACTAAACCCGAGCACCCCGCCCCCCCATCCCTAATCTAAATTAGTCCCACCCCTTCCGGTTTAAGACATTTTGCATAACCTGTCAGTTGTGGGATAAAGCGCGCACGTTGTATCTAGATTCTAAAGCGCTATCAACGTAGCGGGACGCTCTAGTTCTACCTTTGCAATAGCCACCTTCTCTATTCCTGGCTTGAAGGGCTCCATAATTCTGCAGCTGCAACACCGATCTTCTGCCTTAATATGCTGGGCCCTCTAATTCTGCAGTTACCCATCTTCTGCCTTGGCCGCTGGGCTCTGTAGCTCTAGAGACATAACTCTGAACGGAGTTTATGGAGCTGCAGCATACATGTAGGTGTAGGCGGTATAGGTGGACACGTTGATCCCCAGTCAAAGAAGCACCAGGTCCAGGAGTACTGGCAGTAATTCATGAATAATGTATAATATCATTTTTTTTCCTCCCAATTAACTGTTTTTTTTGGCGCCCCAACTAACAGCATTTTTTGGCGCCCCCCTGGAAAGTGCCGCCCTAGGCAAATGCCTAGTTTGCCTTGCAGTAGATACACCCCTGGCTCTAGTGATTGGCATTCCCTGCCATATCTGCCATCTATAGGTCTTCATCCACCAGTTCTGGGGACATCAGTTACAACATCACCTGCCAGCACTTGTGCCACTCTTTTGTCCCTGCACACTCTGTCCTACTCTGAGGAGTGCTCGGCCTAAAGCAGCAAGAGAACCCACCCTCATCATCTCAGGCTCCCATCGAGATATGCAAAAGCCTGCCACTGTTATAACATTTATTGAACACTAGGGGGGTCCATTTATAACCAATTCACAGAGCCATTTGCACTGTGAATCTTTCTGAAAGACTGTTTCTGTACAAACAGACGAAAAAAAATGAATGTCCTCAGACATATTCTTTTCAGGTTGAATGTATGTAATGCAGTACTGCATTACAACCACTAGATGGAGCTGAGCAGCATATTAGATACGTTTTTTCCCTATACTCCATCCATTAGCTCCATCTAGTGGCCAAAATGCAGTATTACATTACATACATTTAACCTGAAAAGAAAATATTTCTAAGAATGTTTATTTTTGTGTCTATTCTCACAGAACTAGCGTACAGAAAGATTCATAGGGCGAATGGCTCTGCGAAATGGCTACAAATAGACCCTTAGGTGTTAGTTCAGGGTGTAGTTTCAGTTAAATTCAAATTACAGCATTTGATGCAGCAACATGTCTCCTGTGTTCAGCCTGTTTCCACATGCCAAGCACAGACACATAACAATATAATATTAAACTCCATGAACCTTGATGAGTCTGGTATACCTGAGCGAACCACACAGGTGAGTCATTTTCTCTCGTCTTCACCATGAAGCGAAGGTTGACATTCTTCCCAACTAACAGTTCATTCATTGGTTCCATCTCCAGAAGCCCAGTGTCATCGATGACGTCAGCATGGTCCACAGTCTCAAAGTCCCAGACCTCACAGAGTGAAATGGATGATGGAGAGTAAGTCAGAACCATGCTGTGTTAAAATAAGTCCAGTAAAATTCTAAAAACATATTTAGTACTCACCCGAACATATCCATCGGCTCCAATGGTGATAAGCTCGCCTTCATCCAGCACAAACTGGTTAATAGAACCGCTATGGCATGGCCTGCGACCTTTTCTGCAGATCTCCACCTTGATAAGACCTCCTTCCCACAGCAGCATGTTTCCCCATTCAGAGCCTGAGATCACCTGAGGATTGGAGGTAAGAGGGGTTGAAACCGCACCCATTGCAGTTCCCTACAACCATTCAACTCACTCTGCTTTGTTTTCATTTACTTACGATTAGATTCTGTAACCTGTCTATCAACTCCTTAGCATGACAAGTCATAAACATTTTGTCTTTAAATCAAAATCTATCATACATAATTATGTATTAACATTAGGGATGCACCGATATATCGGCCGAAAATGGCACTTTTGGCATAATGCTGAAAGTGCCATTTTCTGGCTGATGCATCCGTTCTATTCTCGCTTCCCCGCTGGGCGCTGCTCTGTGTCCCAGCGGGGGTGGAGAGAAACTGTGACAGGTGGCCGAGCGCTGCGGGAGGAGAGCGATATGAGCGGCCGGCGTCTCTCCTCCCGCACCGCTCAGCCTCCTGTCACAGATCGGCAGAGCAGTGTGTGGGCGGAGACAGCCAGCGCTGTCACAGGAGGCTGAGCTCTCCTCTCTACACCGCCCCGCCCAGCCTCCTGTGACAGTGAGTCAGGAAGGAGAGCGGGTACAATGGAATGAATGGGAACTGATCTATATCACTGATCTATATCACTTCCTGTTCATTCATGATTGTGGTTATAGTAACCATACTCTCTCCTCATGTTATGAATGAACAGGAACACTCAGTATGGAGGATTCCTATTCATTGATAACAGGGGCTGCAGAAAAAGAGATTGAGGACTCTGTGTCCTCAATTTCTTTTTCTATTTTAAAAGGGAAATATCAGGGATCTGTTTAGAGCCATAATATTTACCCGAAGCTCCCAGCAGTAAAGTAAATATAAAAATATATTTTTTTAAATAAATATAAAAAAAATAAAAAGTTTATAAAAAATAAATAAAAATAAAATATTTTAAAAAATTTTAAAAAGATAAAATAAGAAACATTTTCGGTTTTCGGCCTGACATTTTTTTAAATTTCGGTTTTGAAATCTTAGTTTCTGTGCACCTCTAATTAACATATCAGATTATTTCACGTCAAATTTACATGACTTTGCCTATAAAAGGGGTAAATCATTCTTAGTATTAAATAATCCTGTTTCATCACCTACACAAAATTATTTAGAGTTTTACCTTCCCGTCTGGTAGTTCCACATATCCCTCTATATCAGTGAGCGCAGTCTTTCCAAATCTCCCGATCTCTCCCTGAAGCTTTAAGCCTGTAAACGTGCGTGCCATTTTCCAGAATCTAGGCAGGAAGAACGGAGACACTTGTAATCAAAATATCACTGAATTTAGGATAAATTAGAACTCTGTATGGGCTTAGTAGAACAATATGGGCTTCACCATGAAGCAAAGGTTGACATTCTTCCCAACCAACAGCTCATTCATTGGTCCCATCTCCAGGAGCCCAGTGTCAGGAAGATCTCACCTGATGTGTCCTGTCCCACAGGTGGTCAACTGCTCCTCGTTCTCTGGAGAGAAGGTGACCTGGAAGACATCTTGGGAGAAAGCCTTCGACCTCAGCATAATCTTCTCCTGTTTCCAGTCCCAGATAGTCAGCATGTAATCTGGGCTGCTCCCCACGCTGGCCAGGAGGGTCCCCGACATATTAAAGTCTATAAAGGCGTAGGCTTCTTCTGTACCTCCTGATGGATGATAGTTGGGCATTAATTTCCAAGTATCTGGGATATGAACTCTACACGGTGGATGCAGTGAACCTGGAGTGGTTGATCACAGTAATTGTGATTTTTGACCTCCTGTGTTACCAGTGGCAAGAGTGAGGACAGCTGGAGACACTAAAAAGTGCCCAGCCCTCACCAAGAGTGCAATCTGTTAACAAGCAGGGCCGGTGCAAGGATTTTTGCCTACACAGGCGAAAGAGCTCTTTTGTGCTTTTTATTTATCTGATACTCATTCACTTTTTATTTATTATTTTTTTCAAATTATTTGTTAATTTCTTTATTTTTTAATCTTACTATCTTTTACTTTTTATCATTTTAATTTTTTTTTCTTACTTATTTTTTCATATATCTTATTGAACCTTCTAGCACAGCACTGTGCTAGAACTCCTGTGACAGCTGAGAGGAAGGGTTGTGAGTGCAGCTCTCCTCTCACTGTCTACTCGATCCGGCATGAAAGGTAGCCGGCAGCGGCGGCGGGGGGTTGGGGGATTTGGGTGTGGGTGTCATACCTGCCGCTCCTCTGCTCAGAGAGGCGGCTCTGATCACACCTGTCAGGGCTCCCTCTCCTCCTGGCCGCTCTAAAGCTGCAGCGGCCGGCAGGAGAGAGCCCCCCCCTGGCGCCGTCAAGCAGTTGCTTGACCTGCCTATATGGTAGCGCCGGGTCTGTTAACAAGCTACCTTAGGGATTGCTGTATCCAGGCCAAATTGTTAGACCAATTAGACCATGGCAAGTAGCTACAAGCAACAGGATCCTATACATACAACTCTGCAAAGGACTGATGGAAAGCAGTTCTAGTACATGGAGATGCTACATTTGCCACTTTGTTGTATTCTCTGTTTCAGCCAGCAGAGGGCACATCTCTAGGAATAATTATTTCTCCAAACTGAGGAGAGATGTGGGGGCAGAGGGCTGGCGGCAATCAATTGGAGGAAAGCAATAGCTGTAAAGTTTCAGTAAAAAAACAAAAAGATTCTTGTAAAATGACAGCTTGAAAAACTGGCTGCTATGGGCAATAATGTCTTAAATGTCAGAAATTGTCAGTAAAAAAGGAAGATATTTTTGCCTAATGCTAAGTATACATTGCGTGAACTTCAGTGCAATCTATAGGCTGAGCTAGGTTGGAATTCAGGTTCAATGCTCTGAGCTCTGAGAGTGGCCTGCGTTGAACCGTTGAATGGTGGGTGTGCGAGAGGGCTAAACTTGATGCTTCAAGGCAGGGCCGGTGCTAGGATTCTTGCCTACACAGGCAAAGTTGCATT